CTGATCTGAAGGATGCTGGCAAGGAGGTACCTTATGCGAAGTGCTCTCATAATAAGTCTTCCATCTTGTGGAACACCTGAATATAGCATGTATAATGTAGTGTTTTTGTTCTTAAGTTATGAGATACTTTTTCCTCCAACAAATATTTCAATGAATGAAAGAAAGGCTTTTTTCTTGTAATGAAAATGCTCTGTTTTAACTTAGCTGTCAACATTTAACATGCCACCTCCTTTGTGCCAACACCCTGCTTTGTGCAACAAAGGCACAGCCCACTGTCCCCATCGTTTATCTTAGGCTCTCATTGCCTGTTGTAATCACACAGTACAATCCCTGTAAGTAAACAAGTACATAGACACATGGAAAATTGAGCATGTGTTTTCCTACTTACAAGTAAGCCACTGGAAATTTCTCTACCTGTGTTTAGCAAGTCTGGGATCCTTAAAAGTCTGGGATCTTTAAGTCTGGGATCCTTAAAAGGGGTAGTATTGTTAGGAGAAGCATCAATAAAACTGAATTAAATCGAGCTGAACCTTACTATTTCAGTGGTATTGTTTCTAATGTGATTATACACCGTACATAGTAATATATTCAAAATGAATGGCACTTTGAAGTCCTTCTCTGATTCTTTCAAAAAGTATGGCATTTGAATAAATCTGCAAAAGGAAGTTGTGAATACAGTGTAAGAACATGATAACAAATTGTATATAGATACAGCATGGAAAACCAGTTCTCAAATCTAATCACACTCATATATTTTTGTAAGATATTGATTGTGTACAAACAATGTGCTTAACAAAATCAGTTGAACTCCTAGCAGCTGTATTTTCATAATGCTTAAGCTTGATTAGAATTAAGCTTGCTTAGGATTTTGTGTTTTTTTTTGGTAGTTTTCACAATATGTGCATCTATCCTGTTTGATTAGTTTATGGTTCACTATATTATGCAAACCCAAAAGATAAGTTAATTCAGTCATCAGGTTATCTCATTACCTAGTTGTGTAGGTAGTGATCTGACCCTCTTAATGCTATTCTTTTTTATGCTAACACAACTTTACCTCCTTGATGAGAGGGTTTCACAAAGAGAGAGAGTCATGTGAAACGGGGAGGGGGGAGTTGAAGTGGACTAAGAAGCTGACAAGAAGTTGGAGGAGAGTTGAAATTGGAGAGAAGGAGAGGAGGAGGAGGAGGAGGAGGAGGAGGAGGAGACGGCTACCAATCACATATTAAATTAGGCAGTCTCAGGCTGCTGAAGAGGCCCAGGTTCCAGACAGATTCAAGACCACCAAAGAGGAATTGACATAGATGTCACTATGCAACAAAGACCTCACAGCATGGGATTTGTCTACCCTGTGAAATATGTAGAAAGAAAAGACATAAGAAAGACAATCCAGGTGTTGCTAGGTGTAAAAGGTTGCCAGCTAAGTTTTCACTGGAGTTCGTAATTAATTCTTTGGGGAATTTAGCAGCAGCTACATTCTAGGATAGGCACACTGCCTCTTAAACAGAAACAGTACTGTTGCTGGCAGAAAGATAATTAATCTCTGAAATGATTATAGACCAGTTAAGTCATAAAATAATTTACTATGTTCCAACTTCCTCCGAAGGCCGACACAAGGTTGGGGGAACTGTAGCTCTATTTTTATACATTAACTGAATTCTTCTTGCTTAGATATTGAAAAGTCAACATGTCAGAGAAACTAATGTCTTCCTACTCTTGATATGCTCAGAATAAAGAAAACAAATTGGAATGGTTCACAGGAAACAAGTTTGCATGTTGTATCTTGTCTGATCAATCCTGAGATTGCACAAAAACAGTTCTTGTCATTTTCTCTCCACCTTCTAAAGGCTGAGCTGCAGAGGCATTTTAAGCAGATAATCTCACGTATCTGGATTCTCTATGTCCAATGAATAGTATAGTTAGTCCTCGACTTACAACCACAATTGGGACCAGAATTTCCATCAATAAACGATGTGGTTGTAAAGCGAGACATCACATGACTGCATTGCTTAGCGATAGCAATCCTGGCACTCCCCATTGCCATCATTAACCAAGAATCGCAGGTAGTTAAGCAGGTACCCACCCCAATCCAAGCCATTTCGGCCTTGGTCCCTCCCAGCCCTGAGCTTCAGAAAGGTAAGAGACTGCCTCCAACTTCCCCACCCACATATCTCCCCCACAATCTCCGCCCTTTTGGCTGCCCTGCACCCTGCCTTGTGGGGTGGCAAGCAGCCCCAGAATTGCACGGCTCTAGGGTTGCCTGCCATACCCTGGGAAGCTGCAGCCACCCCAGTCCAGCCCCAGTCCCCCTACCACCCTGCACTCCTAGACCTTTGCTGCCCTGTGCTTTGCTGCCCCAGCTGACCTTCACTGTCTTCTTGCTCCTGCTGCTGATGAGGCATGCCCACCTGGCTGCTGGGCCAGGCTGGGGCTGGGCTTCACACTGCGAGTCCCGCCCCCCCCCC